TCCATTCAGTGTAGGTGGGGCTGGACATTGATCAACAGCCCCAGGCCTGCTGGAACAGCCAGATCTTGGTGGCTTTATGGAAGGCTGGGAGAGTGGTAAGGGTCCGGATCTCTATGGGTAGATCGTTCCACAGGGCTGGCACAGCTATAGATAAGGCTCTCCCCCGGGGAGTCGCCAGCCGGCATTGTCCGGTCGACGGCACCCGGAGGAGGCCCAACCTGTGAGATCTACTTGGTCGTTGGGTGATATGTGGCAGGAGGCGGTCTCTCAGGTAGCCAGGTCCTAAACCATGTAGTGCTTTAAAAGTAACGACTAGCACCTTGAAGCGCATTCGGAAACCAATAGGGAGCCAAGGAAGCTGTTCTGCTACTCTCACCTATTGAGCTTCCGCTTCTGTTGGGATTTGATTATGGTGTTCTCATCATCCCTCTTCTTCAGCACTTGGAAATTGTATTCCAGCTTCTCTTGATTTAGTTGGTAGATGGCTTTCATTTGCTGGAGCTGCTGCTCCAGGATCTGGTACCACAAAAGAAAATAATATACTAAGTCAACTTCGTAATAGCAGAGCTGTGCCTGTTTAGGGTGGCAAAAATCAAGAGTATAAGAGCACTTTTTCAATAACAATTTTTATTAAAAGGCATGCATGCCTTTGATAAAATGTGTTAGAAAAAGATGCTTCTAGACTTCTTTTTCTTTTTTACACTGAGCGGCAAGCCAGGATTGTGATATAAATTCCACTCATGATTTTGCTACAGGTGCATCAGGCTGAGCAGCAATAATATTATCCCTTTAGTGTTTTCATCACATGTCAACAACATTGCCTACTGTATACTTTAAGGTGCCAAGATGGAGCTTCCCAAATAAACACATTGACTAAAAAATTTAGCACCCTCATCTGAAAACAGGTAACCAGCTTGGGAATCTGGAGAGGAAATAAAAAAAGCAAAGCTATTGAGAAGAAACCAGAGATGAAAGTTCTCTTACTGAAGACAAAACACTGCATGAAGTTGAATAGTTTCATCCTTGCATCAGAAGGGATATTAAAGAGCATAATTAGAACATCATGACTCTGATCTTGAGCTGAGGAAGTTGGAAGACTTCCAAATACAGCTATCTATATAATTTTTAGATATTTAAAAACTTTACTGAAATCTATGCATATTAATGGTTGTACTAAGGGGTATCCATTACTAGTGCGCCAGTGTGGCCAGCTTCTTGGTGTCCACCAGATGAAATAAGGAAACACACACTGAGGAATCTGTCAATGGCAACCTCACCTTCCCACCGCTCTTTGGGGCAAATTGTCCTGCTTTATTCAGCATCTCCCAAATGGGCGTATAAATAGTTCTTGATTCACACCTGCACATCATGCTCCAATTTGATCTTTATAACATTGTACTCCTCAGCATCTTGCACCCGCAGTTGGTTCAGCTCCTGTTCATACTCCTCCACCTTCTTCAAGCGAGCCATCATAAAATCCAACTTTAAAAGGGAGAAAATATGTTAAGTAGGGCTCTAATTAAAAATAGTCAAAGTTCTCCCCTAGACTGCACTTGATTATATGCCATGAAGTCTAGATCACATAGATTTTCTCCATGATCTGGTTCTGACCTTCGGCTCTTCTAACATACCAACACCCCACACAAAAAAGCTCTTTTTGTGCAGCTTCATTTTTTTTTGGGGGGGGGGGATTTTCCCAGGAGGGTCACCCAAGGCATGAAGGTAGTTCCAGCTGCCCAGCTAAAACAAGTAGGAAGATGCCAGAGGCACATAATCACTTAAGTGACAATGGCAAAGGCATAAATTCATACTACATGGGAGAAGACAATGGTAAACCACTCCTGTATTATTCCCCAAGGAAATCCCAATGATAGAAAATATAAAATTATTGGTTCCAGTTAGGAATTTGTGCTTTGGAAATTCATGTTGGCTCTTTGCAATATCAGAATTCTTTTCTAAGTTCTCACATCTATCTATCTATCTATCTATCTATCTATCTATCTATCTATCTATCTATCTATCTATCTATCTATCTATC